AAATCGTAAAGAAAGGGAAGAAGCTAAACGTGAGACGAAAAGGGTCTTAGATTTCAACTAATCTATTTTTGTTTTTTCTAAAGTAGTTTGCAATCTATTGCAGAGCAATGGCTCTTCGAGCCTACATACCGTTTCAATATTAGATTTGTTATAAGCCCGTAGTTTTTTATTAAGCTCGATTAATTCAGTATTGGATTCGAGTACTCATATAGTGATTTTTCTAACTCCTCATAGGTCATACATTTTTTTTTTAATACATCGTCATACCCACTTAACTCCTGTGAGTCCTGTGATATGTTTTCTGGAGTCAAAAAATTATCACAATCTGGAGTTATGATTGCGCAATTCACCTCGAGCTTGTTCCTGACCTTGTGCATATTGACTGGAATAAAAATTCCTTACCATTACATTCTAGTCTCAATTCTCGCTTTGAAGCAAGTAAATTATAGTTATATTTATCAAGCAATGTGTTAGATAAAATAAGCATCGGCTTAGGATGCTTAACTACTGCAAAATCAGCATATATGATACACCTGGAAGCGAAATTCACTGGAACATTTCTAACAATTTCAAGAGATTCTGTGGGAGTAGTAGCAATACCCCTAAGGTCATGTTTTTCTTTCGTGTCAATCTCTAGCTTCAATCATTTGGCAATATCCTCAGACATAATTGCGAAGTTAGCACCAGGATCAACTGTGGCCCCGGGAATTACCATGCACTTGATTTTACATTTAGTAGTAACAACATCTGTGGCAGGTTCTTTTCTCTGAACAAAATCTATCTCCATAGGGTCATCGATGAACTCATCATCCTCAGAATCGGCTGGTGTTTTAGAAATTTCAGCTTCTGGTTGAAAAGGGGAGTTGTAATAGTGCCAAACTTTTCATTAAGCACCTCCTCAATAATTTTTTTAATAATTTTTTCTAAGCGGGATTGTTTATTCTGTGATAGGGGCTTCAAACTTTGCTTTTCTTTTTTGGAAGTAGGAACTGATACTAAAGGAGGTGTGTCTGTATCTTTTACCTTATGAGACTTGTGAGTCTTTGATTTCTTCTTTTCTAAAGAAGTACTAGTGCTATATTTTTTATTCACTTTTTTTTTGCTCGAGATATATTAACATTAATTTCAGCTTCAGATTCCGATTCAGATGAAGAACATTCAGAGCTAGAATTAGAATTAGATTCAGATTCATTAGTAGAAGTATCTGAGTCAGAATCTACACAAGCATTATTAATTTTGCTTTTCTTTTTATACTTCTTTTTATTTTTTTTTCGAGAACAGCTATGAGAATTATGTCCTATTCTACCACAATTTGAACAATATCGATGTGATTTTTTAACGGTTTTAGCAACAGCATTAACGCTTTTAGCCATTTTTACTATATTCAAAGACATATCTGCCATATCTTTAGTAATTTCATCAACACTATCACTATTTGAGGTAATATTATTTTTTATTTGCGGTTTTGGAGATAAAAGGGGGCTTGAACAGGAACAAATTCTGGAGTTTGACTGCAAAGCCATAGTAATAATCTACCAGTATTTTTTTCAAGAATTTTTTGGGATGTTCCTGTGGGTTGTGGTCGAAATTGTAAAGAAACAAATTGTAAGGCAGGCTGTTGGCTCCTTAAATCTAATTGTGAGTTTACTATATTTTCTACTTCAGTTTTTGTTATACTACTATTGTCCAAACGTGGTTCAGTATTTGATTTTGTTAATATAGTTGTTGATTGGGATGTAATAGGTGGGGCTTGAGAGATTTGGTTGGAAATGGAACCTTTATACAAATTCGGAGGACGTTCTAACCACATATTTTTAAGTTCTGTAAAAAATGTATTAATGCCAAGAGGATTAGCAATTTTCATCCAAGTATAAAGCTCTCCCGATAAATGGCCTTTAAGAAGTCCTAAGATATTGGCATTACCATCAGCAACCCCTAATAAAAGAGGACGGATTCTAGTCTCATATGTTTCCGGATTATCAAATAGTAAGAATTTTTCTTGTACTAATCTTTGAGTAGCAACTTGCTGTGTACCAACTGTTTCTGTTTGATATTTATGACGCAACCAAACAATGAAATGGGCTGGGGTATCAATATTATTACCAGCATGTTGAGCGAGTATATTTGTATATTTTCCAGCCATCTTACTTTTTAAAATATCTGCTCGAAGTGGATCATCAAAGATAGCTGCTATAATCGATAGTAAAGTTAATATTTGATTAATTCTTTGATACTATTCATCTGGTGAGATTTGTCTACTATAATTTGGAATCTTTGCAATTAATGGTGCAATACTGGTTAAGTCTCCTGCAACTGTTGCCATATTTGGTGGGTTATTATGAAGTGCAAAAATTTGTTGATTTAAATTATAAATTAATTCAGAATTTCGGGCCCGATTTTTCCACTTACCCCATTTATTTTCTATAGTCTTGCACTTATTTTTTTATTTGGTGTATCATTTTGTTATAAGATTTAAGAGATGTGTAGTAATTGCCCTATCTGCCTTATAATCTTGTAGTTGCTGGCTGTTTTGCTAGGCTTAAATCTGAAATTGTCTATTTAAAAGGCGTGATACAAATTTTTCTTGGAGTAGCTCCAATATACACTTATTTTTTTCTATACAAGTTGCTTTTAATAAGTGATAATTAAGTTTGTGGGCTCTATAAGCTTGATAAAGAAGATTATAATCATTTTGAAGCATGGCTAACTGGGTTTGTGAATCAGCTATCTGGGTTTGCAAATTTGTTAGCTGGGTTTGCAAATCTGCTACTCGGTTTTCAGCATTAATTGCACGAGCATTTGCCTGTGGGTATATTTCTAGTACCAATCGTTCAAGCCTATTACCAGCATCAGAGAATATGTTAAGATAATTTACAATATCA